TGTATACTAGAGTGAAGTCTAATGGGATCTAATTGAAAAAAATATTGTTAGTCTTGGTTTGGGCATTAGAAGACTAGTGAAAGATAAGCAAAGGTGACCTGAATTGTACCTGGATGATTTGCTTGAAGAAAGTTGCATACTAAATGAATATATTCTGATTTGTGTCATCCATTCAGTGCACACTGAGGGTTGAAGAGATAATCTGCAAATGCTGACTACTAGCTCTTAAGGCACCTAGGCTGCTTAGTACTGAGGTAGGTATGTAAGAGTAAAGTAGGGCTAGTGGCAATTGTTTGTGTATTTAACAAGAGTTGTTGACCTTGAGGACTTAGAAACACATATAAAGCAGAGCAATGCAAATATTCGCGTTTTTGTAAAAGTACTTGTGAAATTTTATGTTAACTAATTCTGAGAGTGACAGTGAAATTATTGATGTTAATGATAAGAGTTTCTATTCACATGTATTCTGTACTTTTCTCAATTTATTATTGTATTCAACTAATATTCGTTTATCTTCATGCAACGTATCGCATGTTTATTGTGTTTCTTAGTCTATTCGGCTTATGACATGATTCTAGATCCAGTTTTGTCGGCTTTTTAGCTCACTGTAAAATTCAGAAATGTGCTTGCGAATATAAAGTATCTTTGTTATGCTGTGTTCCCTCAGCTGGATGACTTAATTATGAAGCTTGTACTGTCTTTGTGGATAGTAACATCAGCACTAACTTCAGTATGAAGTGAGCTGTCAGTATCTTTCCTTGAGTGATTCAGTAGCTTGCCCTAACAAACTGGTTTGTAATCGGTTGTTTCCTCTGATCGTGGTGTCAATGACTGCATAGATGTTCTTGTTGGCTGTTCTTATGTTTGACCTGTGACCTTTCTGTTGTTTGTCATTTTTGTTATTGGTTGATAGATTGAGTGTATGTCTATACATTTATTGATTGCTGACTGATGTGAATATCAAGTTTCTATGACTTGTTTGCTATTCTCAGTGTTTCCTCTTTCTAAGATCTGTGCATTGTCAAAATTGAATTTATGTCCATAGTTGTAATTGAGGTGATTTGAAATGAGTGATGAAATGTCGTGACGTTTAGTGGGTAATCGGTGTTTATATAGATGGAGGGTGAGTGGGCAGCCACTTTGTCCATTGTTGAGTTGATCACAATTATTGCAGTTGTTTTTATCGATTTTCACCAGAAAACAACACAACGAAGATCATCCACCTGAGCTACAAATATTCTCCACCATTTAAGAATATAAAGTATTTCTGATCTTTTTTAATCACATATAATATTATGCTAGAAGACACTGGTGAATAACAAGAGTAGTTTGGAAATCATGGAAGATTATTTCTCGGTAGTACTGCCGAGATTGGAGTTATTTAAATACTGGATAACTATTTCATCTATTTCAAGTTGGTCTTATCAAGTTTATGGAATAAAAGGTTTTTTTACGTAACATAGCTAACTGGAATGTTTTATAATACCTTGTGTACGCGAAAACCAATAAATCATGCTACTGCCTTAGTGAAACTGAGAACAACCCTTCAGAACTTGTTGATATCTACTGAGTTTAAGTTATCAGGCAGTTGTGTCTTTCGCGAGGTAAATAATATATGAATAAAATGACTGTAGAACGTCTTACAAGAGGTGAGTAATCATTCGGTTTGAAAGATTTCTTCTTGAAATAGTCTAAGGTGGAAAGTGTATTATGGCGTTTAGTAATTATGTTGTGTTTGATAGCCTCTACTCCGTTACAGTACATATTTTCATCAATGAAATTCACTGATGGTTACATTTGATTGGAAATAAAAGTGTTTACCAGCTGAAATTCTGTGTGAATTATTGATATGATATCCAGAACCATAAATGGTTATCAACATTTACACTTCAAATACAAGAACACGTAGCACAGTTTTAATTAAATGGAAGTAAATTAAGCTAATGAATACTATGAAGAAGTTCAAACCTACAGGAAAACAAAAGGTGGTCGTTGAGAATGGTCAACACCCTGAGGTCATAGTAATTTCCATGCCACATATACATTCGTCCGTCTTCATACGTTCAGGTTTTACTTTATGCTATTGTCATCAATTTTGAGCGCTGATGTTTTTCTCCCTGCCACCGCTCCCTAACAGTTTTAAGTAGTATGGCATACTAGAGGGACTGAAAATGGAAACAGACTGAATACCGTTACTATAACCTTTAAATAATGTTTCCTAGTTTTATCTCGACGATATTCTTATCTCTTTTTTCAACACAAATATTTCTTTTATGCTTTACAAGAGTATTTGCATACATTGTGGTATTATGCGAGATAATAGGTAAACACATTTATCATTCATGTGTGTTCTTAGTTGTTATTCCTTCCACCTTATGCAGTGCTATTTCTATCAAAGGGAGTTATTGCCATCTAATGATAGGCATAAAATCGACGCTGAATGCCTTCTATCCTGTGGATTAAAGTATAAAGTTGGTTATCACCGAGTACTCTACGCCTCTTTCATGCACTACATACTTGACGACTCCATCAAGAGCAGACAATGTTACCGAGCTTACTATGCTCATCTTTATCCTTAGTTAATTTTATTTTGAATGCTTCACTTCTTTCGTATATATATATATATATATATATATATATATATATATATATATAATCACTAGAGTGATGTATTTCTCATTGTCAACCGGCTTTTGATATAAATACTTCATCCACCCTGACGTTTGATATCAGTAATAATAATGGTAATTATTTTTATTAACTTTCCTTCTATTTATTGAAAGCCTGTGTACTTTCATCCAGCTTAATATTGTTACTTGTATTATCCCATCGTTGAGTAGACCGAATTGATCAGTCTCTATTGGAATATGGGCTCCTAGGCGATTGCCTCAATATTGCCTGTGTTTCAGTTTTACGTCTGGCTGACGAGTCCCGAATAGGACGAAACGTGTGTTCTGGATTCCAATTCTAACACACTATCCATCATTAATATGTAACTGAAACACAGACAGTATTGAGGCATCCTCACAGGATCCCATTCTGCCATAGAGACTGATCAATTCGGTCCACTCAACGATGGGATAATATCAGCAACAGCATTAAATTTATACCCGTCTTACAAGAAGTGGCTATCGTGACTTGGTGATCTGGTGGACAATGCTCATGCGTTCGGTCCTGAGGGCGAGTCCTAGTTGGGACCAACATCACTCACTGGTACATCCAACTGAGGAGTCCCAGATAGGACGAACCGCGCCTCCTGGATTCCCCTGCCGGCCACCATCTGTCATTAATATTTCAGTCAACTTAATCTGAATGTAGCTGTTTCCGGTCGTCCTGGTGTTCCTGTTTATTATTTTCTGAAGCCAAGGACTTGACATATTTTTTACCAGTTAAATCTGCTGAGTATTTCAAAGCGTAGTATTTACCATTATCATCGTAACACAATTTTCCGTACTCATGCAATCGTTTGCAGATATATAAAGACACTGATTTATGTGCCTGCTTAAATGTTATGTATGAAAATTTATTTTGTCGTTTAAAGAGTCAGTCTTGTTTATGTGTTGATTCATTTTTTGACTGCCTGTTTACTTACTTCCAAAGTTTTATCACTTATTTATGCTAGTATCTTTTACCTCGTTTTCACCTTGAACTAGTTATCTACTTTTTAAGCCAATCAAGAGTGATAATCGAGTAAAGTTTTGTTCTTAAAATCAATAGAAAAAGAACTACATCAATTGAGGACAGTGTCATTTACCTTAGTTTAAGAGAAGTTACTCTGTGTTACCAATTAATTCATGCCAAAAGTTAACAGAATAGTTCAGAAAGTTCATCTTGTCGTCTTTCCTCTTGCTAGGAAAGTTCAAGCTCTAGCATTTAAGGTTTGCTATTAATCTGTCAACCTTCTTTCACTAATAGTCAATAACCACTGTTATCACGAAAATAGGCGTGGTAGACATGCAAACCTGAGGATATTGTCGTACTGACTCTTAAATTTTATTTTAATGTTTTTAACAGTATTATGAAGTAAAATCAATAGTTGAACTGCATTCTATCCTCTGAAACTCAACCTACCTTGAACTCACTCGTAAAGGAAGAGTTATACAGTATTACAAATTTAATTCACTAAAACTAAACTATACTTTCTCTGACATAATTAGTTTCTTGTGAAAATGGCGTCCTTCCCATCACGAAATGTTTCAGAATAGTTATAATTCACATCTTTTTACTTTTGGATGAAAGAAATGTAATTTTATCCCATAAGACAACTAATATGTTTGCAGTATGAACTCTGGGATTTATTAGGAATGCCATATGTACTTCCATAACAGTAGATTTTCCTCAATGTTCCTTAAGGTACAACAGTTTGATTGCTTGATTTAATTTTCTTGTGAAAAACTTCATACCCTTCAGTTAGCTCATCATATTTAGCCTTGCCATTTTATTCTTCTAATTACTTGTCCGGTGTTATGAATGATGCTGCTTTTTGAGTTGCGATTGTATTTATGAGGCCTTGTATGCATCAACTTAGATGTCTGAAAAATGCACAGGCGCGAAATTAGACAAAATTCGGTTGTAACTGCATATTTTTCATAACTGTGCTCTTATGATTGTGCACATATTTGCGAGATGATTTTAATACAATTTTTATGATTGCTATAGAATAAGCTATGTAATCATCTAAATGACAGGACTTTCAAGAAGCTTGCGATCACTAGGATATTGTGTTTCTTTCTCTACAAGGAGGTCTCTATCAAGTAACTCTATAGTAATGCATACAGTTTATGAAGTTTGTTGAGTGTGGTAACTGATGATGTCTTTCAAACTAAGATAAAACAGTTACTCAGCACTTTTGGAGATGAACATTTTTCTTTTCAAGCTAATTATTGACTAAAATGCTAAATTTCCAACGAATATTATTTTGTATGTTTTACAACACTTCATGGTTATATTCATTTTCATTTCACATTGTCATTATTGTTACCATTATTATTATTATGTAGGGATAATGAAAAGGCGAATTTATACTGGAAACGATATCTATCCATGGACAATAGTGAAATTGTGGGTACGTTATGAATGTCCCCTGGTTTTGTTTCATGAGAAATTTGATAATTGAATTCTAGTTGCTATATCCCATTTAATGTGCTACATGCTATTGGGTTCACCCTCGTTCATTCTTTGAGCTACAAATCTTTACCATCATTTCGGTGCGCTAGGTATTAAGAGTAGATCAATAGAAAGCCCTGGGTCTAGTCTTTTTTCTTGTTGATATTTACTAGCAAGGCCTGTTCGCAGTTCTTGGCGAAACTCATGTTTCTCTGGTGGGGATTCAAAGTCTTATCCGCTGCCACCCATTAGTGATTTCAGAAACTCCACCAACAAACAATTGAAGTCATGACTGGGCCTCTGTAGAATTGGATCATATGCACCGATTTGTTACCAAGCGGAAGTTGATGTAGTTGTTAACTTCTAAATCCTTAACACTGATAGGTGTTCATCGATCAAGTTAGTAATGCGACAATCTAATTAAGTGACAGCATACTATATCTCGGTGCTTGATGTTGGAAAGTGTAATGTCAAGTGCAATTCCACGTAATGTTTACGTAAAACTGTTGAATTTATCAAAAATTAAATTCAGTAAAACAAACAGTATGAGCGAAGAAATATTTCTTTTCAATTAGTTCCTCATCAATGGCTCTACACTAATATGGCATTTTCAAACGTAAAATTACTTACCAATCTAGTGGTGAGAGTTGTTCAATGAAAGGTTATCGATCTCAAAGTATCAAGAAAAGCATCATAAGCGGGTTAGAATTTTATTGCCGTTATGTAGATTCTTGATTGTGAATAACGAGGACGATGCAAGGATCATACTGGATGAATTCAATGGTGTCCATCCAGCAATAACCTTCACTACTGAAACAGAAAGTGACGACAGCATCACCTTCTTAGATGTCCGATTGACAAGGAAGGTGGATGGAACTATGAAAAGAAGTGTGTATCGGAAACCAACGTCAACAGGTCAATACACCCACTTCTTGAGTTTCGTCCCCTTGCAATATAAGCGAAATCTCGTTAAATGTTTGGTCCATCGGGCGAGACTCATCTGTTCAGATGATACTTTTGACGAAGAGCTTCAAATTATCCACGATCTACTCAGTAGTAATGGATATCCAGAAACGTTCCTGGCTAAAAATATGAACACATCCAATATGAAAACCAGAATGCCTACAGTCTCCAAGAAACCATTGTTCCTAAGACTACAATTTCGAGGTGACATCATCAGCGAAATTGTGACACAACGCTTAAGAAATGCCATAAGAAGATCATTTAATGCCGCCAAGTTATGTTGTGTTTTCTACAGCCGGCCGATGATGACCACACGAACTAAAGACAGACTCCCTGACTTCTCCTCTTCTATGTGCATTTACCAGTTCAACTGCTCCTGTGGAGCTAGTTACATTGGACGTACAGTTAGGCAAGTCCGTCGTCGAATCGCCGAGCATCATCCTTCATGGCTAAGTAAGGGGAAACCAGATTGACACGAAGCTCAATACTCTCTCATCTGATTGACACCGGCCACCGAGTTAACATTCATAATGCCTTTAAAGTTATTTATCACATTCCTTCTCACCTCACCCATCCTCTACGAGTTCGTCTTTTACATACAGCAGAAGCCATAGGAATCCACCTACACAAGCCAAGTCTGTGTGTTCAGAAGAGATTCGTACAGCCTCTTTCTTTGCCTTGGCCATCTGTATAGCTCATTTATTACAACAAGACTCTTCATTTCATCCACCACACAATTCACTATAACTAATATTTTAATAGCTCCATTATTATTATTATTATTATTATTATTATTATTATTATTATTATTATTATTACAGACTTAACCATCTTTCTCTCCCCCTACTGTCTCTAATTACCGTCAACGATTTACGTAACAGTTCATTGTTGCTCTTTAGTTATCATTATATAAAATATCAATTATGTAAGAACCTGTTCACAAAATCTTTCTACGATAATTAATCTTTGCTTTAGTTAACTGTCTTAATTACCTGATCAATTATCACCTTCTTGATACTTTGAGATTGATAACCTTTCATTGAACAACTCTCACCACTAGATTGGTATGTAATTTTACGTTTGAAAATGCCATATTAGTGTAGAGCCATTGATGAGGAACTAATTAAAAAGAAATATTTCTTCGCTCACATTGTTTGTTTTACTGAATATCTAAATGGGAATTTTCGCATTACCAAAAATTTAATGATAGTACAATGTATACTTGTTAAATCATTATAAAATTTGTTCCTCAAGTTATTTGAACGCTCACAGCGAATAAATCTGACATTAATATAATTTGATTGAGATGTACTCAGAGTTGATTGAGCATAATATTAGCCTAACTGCCAGGAAAATGCCCGCAAGGAGTTAAGTATGAATATTTGACAACTAACAGGAAAATCCTGATTAGGAATTTCAAACCGAAGTGAATAAATTTAATTATCGGTGAAAAATAGTTTTAAAATAATGCAGTTTTAAGTTTATGAATGCCTTCTGAATTAAGTGAGTATATTAGATATTATGCATATAACTGATATTCTGTATGACTCAATTGAAGTTGGAAGAAACTGATTCTAATCAAACATCTTTTTCATCGTCTACTAAATACAGGAAATTTATTTCATATGTTTTTCTGAAATAAAAAAAACTATAATAAAGAAATTAAAGAGATTTACACTTTGTAATGTGATTTTTTCTTCTGAATTAGATCTATTTGTTGGGCAGTTAATGAGTACGCTCGAATGTGCAGATTGTTCTTTCAAATCAACTACTTTTGATCCCTTTTGGGATTTAAGTTTACCCATACCAAAAGTAAGTTGTCATTAGTTAAAACGACTAGTACTTATCGATTTCCTTCAAAAGTACTATACTTTTTCAGTAGAATAATTGTCTTTCATTAATAAAGAAGGGGAAGGAGAAAATTTTCCATACCTTAAAGGTTTACTTTAATCGATAAAATCTTGACCATAAGAAATTGATTTGATTTTGCACATAGTTTGTTTTCCTGATAAGTATGTCACTTCTTGAGATAAATTTCTGAAACTGTTAAGTTGTTGAATAGAGCTAAAGTATGATTTAGGTTATAATTGATCCCATCTGTAGACACTACAGATTTCTTAAGAGTATTTATGATAATGATGTTTTGTGTGTGAAGGAATAAAACTTGGTTTTAAGATGATATTATCCTGGTTTTTTTTTCCATTCATATGGCGCTATGTTGATGAGGAAGATGTGGTTTAACATATCTGAGGATGAAGTGATAATATATTCCCGTTACTCATTATGATTGTCAAACAATTTTTACTGTATATTCATTGGTCACTGGAGAGCGACTAATTTCATGTTGTCTACTCCTTAGTGCTGATCAAATTCTGTCGATCATTTTTGCAGTGTGGTCACCAAGCTAGAAGGTTTACCATCACTATACAGTTTGGTGGATATTAGTTGGTTGTAGGCGATTAATAGAAAGCAATGGACCTAGGTTTTGTGCTTATTGGGACTCATCAGCAAGACGTATCTGCAACCTTAAGGGAACTGGTGTCCAAACATTGATTAGTCGCTGGAGACCAACCAATTTCATTTTACTTAATTATGAGTGCTGACCGAATTTTATCAATCTAATTCAGTCCTATAGAAAGTCATTCGTAGCCCAACTAGGTCAACGGTAATGTTATTAATTACAACACTGGGTCGTGCAGGTTCGAGTATTGAAGGAGACATCAGCTTCCTGAAGGTTTCAGACACACCTTGCTGACGAGTGCTAACAAGCACAAAGTCTAGGTTCATGGCCTCCTACCGATTGATTACCTTCAACCAACAAATATCCATGAAACATTTCGCTGCTTTTTATCATAGCATCCAAAATACATTTAGTTCCACTATTAAGTCCATAAGTGTCACACATAGCAAAGGTTTTTCAACCCCCACTCAGGATTATCAAAACATTTCATTTTCTAGACGTATCTCTGAGGGGCATCGGCTATTTCTAGTTTGGATATAAATCTTTCTGATCTCTGTAGACAATCTTAAAATTTTGATTAGAAATCCCTCCTGATTATGACAATTTACTTGGTTGTGGCTAGTAGAGTAGTCTAGGAGATGGGTTTCGTCCTATTTGGAACTCGTCAGCCGAATGTACCTGCACCCGTGTTGAAAGTAGTGAAGTCACCCCTTATGGCATTCGTGAACTCTGACAGCATGAAGCTCAGTAGAGTTATACAGGACCTTTAATGTAACAGATAAGTGATACAGAAGTGAATTGGCTTAGGCTGCCACACCTCACAGCAGCACTCAACGAAAAAGTGGATAGAATACAAATTACATAAAGTAAACAGGTATGGAAAAAAGAGCATAAATAAATATGATATTGATATGATTGTGAGCAATAATTTATGCTCGAAACGTAATCAAGTAAATAATACTGTATCACTGTGCGCTTTATATTAAATAAACAAATCTAATATGGAATTACATTCTATTACAGTGCCTAAGTTTTTCACTTATAAATAAATGAATATTAATAAAAATGTTCATGACTTCAAAGAAGAAAAGGAGTATATTACATCTTAGCTGCTATGGTTGATTTTAAACCGTGTAACAAAATGTGTCCAACCAAATGATTCCTATCACCTAGAAGACAGCAACCACGCGGCCTATATTTCCGCACACGATTCAGAACGATAGTCAAATACTTCAATAAGGTTATCAGTTTGCAAAAGATTTACAAATAACACGGTTCAAGTTGATATATCTCTTAGTTGAATAGTTTTTCAGTTGCTCAACTGTGGTGGCAGTGAATGGGAAACCACTCAGCCAAGATCATAAGGTGTGATCTCGGACACAAAAGCGTCATGACCTAACGATATACACTTCTGGACAACTTGATTAGTTAGAAACCACACAGGCCGATCAATATATTTCGCCAGGCAGATCAGAGTGATATAAACACCGGATGGTTGCTTCACTCTTTTTGCAGGCAAACTCATCAGTGGTGTATCTGGACAAATTCATGTCACACAGCAGAATTTTTTAGATTACAAATCAGCCTGAGTGGTTTCAGTAATATATTTCGTCAGTCAAATATTTTGTGCACTGTTGTTGCGTTTTAATCTGGCCAATTTTAGCCTTCTTCTTCCAACCCGATTCTTCGAAGGTTAGAAAAGTGTGTTATGATAGGCGGTGCCTCGGCATATGCAATACATATCCAAGCCATATCAGTCGATGAAACTTTACAATTTTATTAACTGACTTATCCTACCTGTTTTATACTCTGTGCATAAATCCAGCATCGCTCAGACAGCGACATCGCTACATATAAAATAGTATGAAAAAGGCGCTTGTAATTAGATGCCTGTAAACTCTTCGTACTTCCCACTTTTGACGACAGTTTCTGGAAGCTGTACATGCCTGTCATTACTTCTAATGGGTTTAGATTACAACCGTTTTATTTTACTCTGGGAGTTTATTATGGGAAAGAACATTCATTTTTATTAAAGTGCTACTTGTAGGTGTAACACCTATATGCACATTTTTTCGTATATAGTCTTGTTGTTTATTTATTGTGGTAGTTGCGTTTTTTATTTTCGAAGCAGAAACAATTCCTAACTCTCTAAAGTGCAAAGTTATATGGGTGTTTACAGTTTTGTTTATTCGTGTACTATTTATCGAAATGAGTATTTATCTATCTTCATTGAAATCATCCATATATCAATTACATTTTCATCTCTGAAAATTGAAAACAACAGTCAAACAGGTTTAGTTTTTTTTATTGACTCTACCATATAGCCTGATTTTTTGATATTCGGTTATATTGTTGATTTGTTTGCATAGCAGGAACAACATACAAAAATGAATAAAGGAAATTATTTTTATCACATTTGATATAGACTGATAATGGAGACCATGTCTTGGTCTTGTTATCCTGAGTAAGATGGGTTGAATCGAAGATTGAATACTCCCCTCAAAAGCCAAAAGTGTATGCGTAAGCATATTGGCAAAATTCAGAACACACATTCTCAACCCTACTGGTAACCACCAACAAACCAAATAACATCAAGACGAAAATCTTGAAAGTATCGTGATAATCTCATAAAGATTCTTTCCTTTTTGTAGCTTCTTTGATTAGTTATCGGGTATTAGGAAAGGTACTCAACGATGGCTATTGGGGGGAAGCTGCACTATTTTGTGAACTGTCAGAAGTAGAAAACATGGACCATTGAATTCTAACTGACTGACTCGATGGTAACGTGCTAACCACGTAACTCCTAGGTCCTGGGTTCGATCCCTGGCAGGGTCATGGGTGCGCGCTGCTGAGGAGACCCATACTGGTACGAAATAGCCACCTAGTGCTCTGAGATTTCCAACGTTTATCCAACCGATGTCAGTCCGTGATCAATTCGTACCTGGAGTCAATAAATAAATCCCCAAATTCCTCCAAATTGGGCAAAATACATGAATTCGCAGGGCGAGGCTAAAATGCTTAGCACACGTTACTCCAGTATTTTAGGTGTTATTTGTATTTTGCAAAGTTACTTTAGAAATGTTTGAGTAGGACGTCAACTCCTACTCGTTGAAATATCTACTTCAAATACTATTCGTCATGGCAAGAAATGAATTACTTGTTGTAAAAGTCATACTGAATAAAGCTCCTTTCACTGGTAGAGTAGGAGGTAGTCTTGTTATGTAGAACACAAAATCACTTCTGAGAAAATTACCAAAATTTTAATGTAATTCTCTTGTTTTCCATTCACTTTATTCATTGATGAATGCTTCAAAACTATGGTTAACTTAATATGAGCACCGTACTCTTGGTGACACGTCTGCGTTAAATATTTATTGCTTGTACAAGCACTGTAACCATAGTTTAAAAAAATGATCTATCGGTTAGTGAATAACTTTTTCAACATTAATTTATCGCATTCAAGATACTCAACCGATATTCAAAACTAGGAGTCACTTGCTTGAATCCCTATCAGTTTGAATATTGTTGAAAATTATTTGTTTCTGTCTATATGCAGTCATAACAATGGATTTTATCAATTTTTATTTAGAGATCATGATTTCCATTTTGACTATTTGAGAAAGCCGTGGTTTGGCAGGCTAGTATTTTTACTAGGTGATGATTGAAGGTGAAGTGAGAACTCGGACCGTAGCCGGATTCGAACCAAAGACCATCGGGTTTCCGGCCCGATGCTGTACCAACTGAGCTACGAGGTCCGACTAATTTAGTTAGATTTGGATTAGGATGCGAAGTCCTGTTTGGGCTGGAAGTCAGTGTGAGTACTATCAAGCGATATTAACGCCTTACGAATTCACATGGTGGTCGGGCAAAACCTTTGGTGACTGAAGTGAAATAAAAATATGGTCAGCAGTCGAACCTCGTAGCTCAGTTGGTAGGGCATCTGTCCAGAAACTCAGTGTCCGCTGGCTTGAATCCGGCCGTGGTCCAACTTTTCATTTCACCTTCAATCATCACACAGTATAAATCATGGTCTGTTTGAACTACTGAGATGAATGAGGACAAACACACACTGATTGCACTAGACGATGTTCACAATTTATTATGAAATGAAAGAGGTAGGAAATCATGAACTGTAAGCTGAGTGTTGATCTGCTCCCTAGGAAAACTGATAGTCCTGGGATTGACTTCTCACAAGGTGTTAGGAAATATACATGACTTAGTGGTCTTGACCTAGCAAAAGACAGCTGTTCTTTATTCCCAGGTTTCATTCCAATGATCCTCCAAATCATTTTAACTTACGATAAAAACTCTTGAAAATGCTAATTTTTCTGAGATTAGTAGACACAATTTG